CAGCCAACATTTAAACACTAGGGAATTTCAAATAGCAATCCAGAGCATCCGGAGTTCCCGACTGTGTGGAGTCACACAGCTACACAGTGGTTGTTGGCTCTTTACCAAACCCAAATGTGTTGTCTTAGCTGGTCTCTGACTCGGTAGATTTGTGGGTTTGTTATCTCTCAGGCTGAAAGACCTGACGACCCGCGGTCTTCATGATATTTTCCTGGAGAAGCATTTTGGAGTACTGGGGTATCTCTGCATTATTTTTGGATTCTTATTTTTGGATTGTCCACTCAGCCCACTTCACTGGTGTTATTAGTCCTATTCCTCAGTGCCTATTAAGCTTGTGAAGCAGGAGGATCAGAAGTTTAGGGCCAGCTTCTGCCAATCAGTGAGTCTGAGGTTAGCCCAGACTATGAGACCTTATCTCAAAAACCTCAAAACAAGGGCTGGAAGATGTTTTTACATATGTTTTGCATAAATGTTGAGGGCTTACATTTGAATCCCCAGAGCCCATATAAAATCTAGATCTGGTAGATGGGGAGATAGGAGGCAGAGATGGAATACCCAGAAACCCATGGGCTAGGTAGACCAGCATATGCAGAAGAGAATAACAACACAAAAGGCTTCATCTCAAAGTGGAAGGTAGGGACTGAGGTTGAATTCTCTCTCTCTCTCTCTCTCTCTCTCTCTCTCTCTCTCTCTCTCTCTCTCTCTCTCTCTCTCCCTCTCTCCCTCTCTCTCTCTCCCTCAGACACACACACACACACACACACACACACACACACACACGAAAATGAAAAGGCGGGTGGTGGTGCGCACACCTTTAATCCCAGCACTCAGGAGGCAGAGGCAGGCAGATCTCTATGAGTTCAAGGCCAGCCTGGTCTACGAGTTCCAGGACAGCCTTGGCTACACAGGGAAACCCTTTCTCAGAAAAAAAAAAAAACAAAGAAAGAAAATGAAAAGTAAATCCAATGAACCTAAACCCTGCCAGACAACTTAACATTTGCATCTCTGTTGAGATCCTAGCTTATAGAACTTTGCTATTTAATTTTGTGTGGAGCGACTTTGTGAATTTATGACTGTTAAAATTTGAAGGGTCTAGAGGAAGTGGGGAAGTGGTTTGTAAACTACATTTCTTCAGTTTGTAAATGCAGTTGCAAATTTTCTCCAAAGCCTCAGGCTGTGTCAGCACAGTAGTTTTTTCCCCCATAGAACATATCTATTGTTTCTGTTGTATTTATTGCATAAAGTTGCACCTGATATTCCCTTGTTATTTTTCTAGTGTCTGTAGGATCTATATTGACGTCTCTTGTTTGTGATAGAATTTGTCCTCTATCTCTTTCTGTCTGTCTGTTTTTGACTTAATGGCTTTTGCAATAGCTACTCTTTAGTGATGCCTCCTTGCATCTACACAGACTGTCCGCACCATCTTAGACTTAGACTTGCATATTCTTCTGAAGACTCCAAACTGCTTTCTGGATTATACTGTAGCCAGCATGCAGGCCAAACAGCTGAGAGTGTCAGGGGTGTCCTTTGCGCTTACGCAGCTGGGCTAACTCTGCACGTGCCTGGAGTTTCTTGTTGATGCTGTTCCCAGACCTGAGTGAACACAGACGGCATTATAGGTATGACACATGGCATCTGTAAGTTCACACAAAATTCACATTGCAGAGTGAATGTTGTCTAGTGGAGAGACTAGATTGCTTTGGCCAGATCCAGGCTGAGTTGAAAGTGCAAAATGACAATAACTAAACGCAAGGATTTTCAGGTCACACCTGTGTCCACATTCCCGGTGGGCTTCATCCTGTCACTTCTCCAGAACTGGCAAAGTAGCCCATTCTTTCCTCATCCCTATGTTCTGCCTCTCACCCACTTCTTTCAGCAAATCCACCTGCCTGCTGACCTGCTGTGTCTCTCTGGGGCTTTTCATGGGACAAAGGATTGACAGCTGCCTGTACATCCTTCCTTGAAACCAGAGTGCTTTCTCCCTTTAAAGCCCAGGGACAGTATGGGCTCTGCTTTTTAGAGGACCAGGCCTAAGGCAGTATGAAAGACTGAAGACGCTTTGAGTAGATTTGACTGCAACAAGCTAATGACATAATGTAATACAGATCACTTAGTTTTGATTTTGTAATGGTGTGTGTATGTTCATGTAGGAGTGTGTGAATATGTACATGAATGTGTGTGTGCATGTGTGATTGTAGAGGCCACACGTTGATGTTAAGTGTCTTACTCCATCTCTCTTTACCTTATTGATTTATTTAGAGATGGAGTCTCTCTATGCAGCTCTGACTGACCAGTAACTTGTAATACAGATCAAGGTAGGCTTGAAATCACAGATACTCATTTGCTTCTCGCTGGAATTAAAGGTGTGTGCCACTGAGCCTGGCTTCTTCCTCTTTTTTCTTTTTACATCTGTTGTTTCTTTTTATGTGTATGACTGTTTTACTTCCGTACGTATATATGTACCACAAATATACCTAGTGCCTAGGGAGGTCTGAAGAGGGCATTAGGTCCCTTACAGACAATTGTGAGTCATCACATGGGTGCTTCAAACTGAAATTCAATCCTTAGCAAGAGCAACAAGTGTTCTTAACTGCAGAGCCATCTCTCCAGATTTCTCTCTTATTTCTTGAGACAAGGTCTCTCATTGAGACTGTAGCTCACTGACTGGTTAGAGACTACCACCACCCAGCTAAATGGCTATTTGAAAACCAGGTGGTTTCTCATTTAAAACTCAGATTTCTGGGCCCATGAGATGGGTCAGTGAGTAAAGGGTGCTTGCTGCCAAGCCTGACAATTTGAGTTTAGTCCCTGGTGGAAGGAGGGAATTGATTTCCCCAAGTAATCCCCTGATCTCCACACTTGAACTTAGCATGCACACAAATAAAATACATAATTACAAAATAATACATGGGGCTTCTTTTGGAACACTGGGAAATCTGAAAACCTGGAGGTGGACAGTAGCTGCCCCTTTTTAATGGGTGGGCACATGCCAGCTGGCGATCATTCTAGCACCCACAGTGATGTGTCCACTTGCACACATGGCCCTCTGTCCTCATTTATGGAATATGGCTGGCCCCTTGTGGGCATTTATGCTTGACATCTGCACAGTAAAGGGAAATCTTTCCAGGAGTAACGGTGGGAGTGACTTCTCAGAAGGTGCATTGAACTAAAGTAATGGATTATGGATTGCTAAGCCCAGCTGAAAGTTCAGTGACTGGCTCGGGAAGTGGACCAAATAGCATGGAGAAAATGTCAAGCTTGTTGAGAAGAGTCTCCCTTACAAAGCAGCTGCGCTTAGGCGGGCTCCCCGAGTCTTGCAAGAGGGCACTATCTGCTCAGCCCTAAGTAGGACAATGAGGAAACTAGGCAGCAGAGCTCACAAAAGTGAAAATGCCCACGTAGAACTGACTTCTCTGGTGCCTCTTAGAGGATAGGACACCGAGCCGTCGGCGATTGGTGGCTGGGTGGTAAAAGTCAATGTGGTGAATGAGATGATGCTGGCGCTGGGGATGTAGCTAGGTTGGTAGAGCGCTTGCTTGTCCAGCAGGCATGAAGCCCGGGGTTCTTTCTCCCGCACTGCATCAGGTGCGGTGGGGTACACCTGTAATCCCAGCGCTGCGTGTTCAGAGAATATAGGCAGGATCTTTGAGACAATGTGAGTTCAAGGCCAGCCTGGAACCAGAGGGGGAAAAAAAAAGACAATGCTGACTTCACTGATTTCAAGGGTGCTGTGTCTGGCCTTTGTTGAGATTTTCTTTTTCTTCTTGGCCAATCACTGGGTTGTGGGCCTGAGAACATGGAGACATGACTGTAGCTGTTTTCTGTCCCTTCCTGGACTCTGTCTGCTCCACAAGTAATGGAGCTGAGCCCTGGAGGAGTGCACACACGGAGACCAGCTGACTTTCCTTCCCTTCTTCCTTCTCTGCTGGCACCCCCTCTTTCTAGGTGAATGGTGTTTTAATATTTTCCAAATGCTCTCACACCTTTTGCCAGAGGATCTGCCTAATAGACACATGAATTAGGTGCAGCAGGCAGAACCCCGTTTAAGGTGGAAAGCAGGCCACGGTGAGGCTAGGTGACTTGTCCCTCACCGTTCAGCAAGACAGCAGAAGAGCAGGGGCCCCACCTCAGAGGTATAGATCTTTCTCCCCTCAGCTTCCAACTTGTCATTGGGAACTTTGTTTTTTAGGTGTCAGTTTTTTTATATTTTTATTTAAAAACTGTTATTAACATTTTTATACAATGTATTTTGATAATATTTGTTCCCTTCCCCTAACTCATTCCAGGTCCTTCCTACCTCCTTACCCACTCAGGTATCTGTGTGTGTGTGTGTGTGTGTGTCTGTGTGTGTATATGTGTGTGTGTGTGTGTGTGTGCCATGTTTGTAGGAGTACCCCAGGAGGCTAGAAAAAGGTGTCAGATCCCCTGGACGTGGAGGTGGAGTCACAGACAGTCATGAGCCACCCTACATGGGTACTGGGAGTTGAAATTAGGTCTTCTGGGAGAACAGAAAACACTTTTGACTTCTGAGCCATCACTCTGGCTCACTGGGGACTTTTAACTGCTAAGACTAGAGCAAATAGTGTTTTACAAACAATTGAACAGAGTCCAATAGTCCAATCAATTTAATAGGTAAAACCCAATTTTACAAATGAAATAGAAAAGAATGGATAATATCAGCACACATTGCAAGCCAAGCCTTATTAGTGGTGTTTGATGTAAGTCTGCTGCTGTTTGGGTTTCCAGTCTCTTGCTGTTGCTCTGCTGGGGACAGATTTGAATCTCTTTAGACTTGGATTTTGGATGCTGGGAAGCCTTATCAGTTGTTTCTGCCTGAGCTTCAGGGAGATTAGATTGCAGTGACGGGCTGTTGGGAAGTCTTGCTTTTGCACATCTGACAATTCAAGACAGGAATGTGTGCACAGACAATAGGACTTTCAATGTGCTTATGACATGAGATTAAAAAAAATATATCGCCGTTGCCCTTGGTTACCTTTCAGAATTTGAAGTAAATCCTTATTGCTGAAGATTGACACATACTTTGGACAAAGAACTTGGATCTCACCTGGAAACCTCTATCTTAAGGACTAGTTCTTGGTGCTGGAAGGTGCTGTGCAAACTGCCAACTCAACTGTAACTCTCAGACCACAATGTCTGTCGTGACAAGATATTCCCAGAGGTGCAATACTTGGTACTAACCGACAGCTGTTGAGCTGGACTTGCTCAGTAGGAGGGAATTCATTCCTGGTGCTGCAAATTTAGCCAAATGACCACAACTGGGAAGGCCATGGAACCTAGAGGAGAAACTGCTACTGCCACTTTTTTAAACCAATGTTATTTTTCACTGCATTCTAAATACTATCCTTACCCTCACAGACAACGGTGACTCTCACCATTTATCTTAGTCAGTGTTCTATTGCTGTGAAGAGACACCATGAACACGGCAACTCTTATAACGGAAAACATTTAATTGGGGCTGGATTGCAGTTTCAGAGGTTCAGTCCATTGTCAACATGATGGGGAGAATGGCAGAATGCAGGCAGACATGATGCTAAAGAAGGAATTGAGAGTTCTGCATCTGGATCAGCAGGCAGCAGGTTGAGTGAGACCCTGGGCCTGGGTTGAGCTTCTGAAACCCTAAAGTCCTCTCCCAATGACACGCTTCCTCCAACAAAGCCACACCTACTCCAATAAGGCCATACCTCCTAATCCCTCTCAAGCAGCACCACCCTTAAGGATCAAGCATTCAAATATACAGGCCCTATGGGGACCATTCCTATTCAAACCACCACACCCCTCTATGTTTCTCTTTGCAGCAGACAGAGACCATTACAGAAATCCACAACTGTTCAAAATACGGAGAACTAGTGACTGGGGCATGCCCAACCCCAACTGATGTATCTACAATACAATCCACACAGCTAATGCTCAGGGACCACCGTGGAAAAGAAGAAGCATTGTAAGAGCCACAGGACTAGGATGTCTGCTGTGGGAGTGGGTCCTCTGTGACAGGGAATCGATACCCAGGAAATCACAACACTATTCCTACCTAAAGATCCGAACCGTGACAACACCGGTTGACACACCAGTGTGCGTGAGGGAAATCTTATAAGGCCCTACCCTTAGATGAAGAGCTCCAGGCAATTAATGACTGCTGAGAGAAGGAAAACCTGGTTTACCTAGGGAAGAGCCCCCAGTTATCCAATGTTAAGTGGTCAGCCCTAAAAACATATATAGGAGCAACACTAGGCAGACTCAGCAGGTGTGTGTGTGTGAGTGTGTGTATATCTAACAATGCTAATTAAAGAAAAAGGAGTCATGAATTTGAGAGGGAGTGGGAAGACACAGGGAGAGATGGAAGGACAAGAGGGAGAGGGAATCATATAAATTCATCACTCATGAGAATTTCTAAAAAAATATTGACCTCCATAAAGACTGGGTACCCCTACTGAGAGAGACTAGAACCAAAGGGTCGGCAGTAGACAGCAGCACAAGGCTATCATGTCAATTTTAACTTTTACTTTAAAATTTGTGTGTGTGTGTGTGTGTGTGTGTGTGTGTGTGTGTGTGTGTGTCCTGGCATGTCTGTGTAGGTCATATGACAACTTTGTAATAGTCTGTCCCCTCCTTCTACCTTTCTGTGGTTTCTAGGGAACGAGTTGAGCTTGTGTCAGTGGTGAGCAAAGCTGTGGATGAGCCTGCTCTAGGCAGAACTGTACGCCCGGGACCAGGCAGACATATATTCAAGGAGTGAATGTGATTCTCAGGACTGAGGCAGGGTAACACGCAGTCCCAAGATGTTTGTCTCATGACGATGGGTGTCGTTATGGAGCAGTGGTAGAGAACAAGTCAAGACATGGAGACCCAGACCCTGGAGGAGCACTTGTGCTCCTATAACATGGCCCAGCAGGCTCACAGGCAGTGTCACTGAACGTGTGGGTAAATGGTTACAAGTGTGGATGATTAAGAAGTCAATTTACATTTGTGTCATTGAGAGAAACCAATAAAACAGAAGCCAATCAATCAAGAGAGGTCATTAATAAACAATAAATATGCACGAAACATAGAGTACTCTTTCCAATCCATTGTCTACTTGATTAATTTTCTTGCAGATGTCCAGCTCGAGAATCATATGTTCCTAAGTCCTACTTAGGAAAAAGACTATTCTTTTAAGTGTATATATATTAATATGTACTTAATTAGGTTCCACCAATTATTTAAAAACATTATTAGCATATATTAATTGTATTTAATAGTGGGTTTTATTTGACGTTTTCATGCATGTGCATATTTATTTCAGCCATATTCACCCTCCATTACCTGCCCTTTTTCCTTTTGGTCTGTCTGTCTGTCTGTCTGTGGACTGTAATCCTACTGAGGGGATGGGAGCAGGAGGAGAGATGTTTATGGCCAGCTCAGCTACGTAAATTCAAGGCCAGCCTGGGTGACACAAGACCCCTTCTTTAAAAACAAAATTGTGGAGAAAAATAAAGTATAATGATTGCTATACCATGAGAATCAGATGGTAAAAGGCTCTCCCTCCCATCTGGGTGTGGTGGTGCATGACTTTCTAATTCCAGCACTTGGGAGACAGAGGCAGGAGGATCTTGGTGAGTTCAAGGATACTCTGGTTTACATAGAAAGCTGTCTCCAAAACAAAACAAAATACCAAACAAACAAGAAAACAACCCCTCCCACAAAGCCCCAAAACAAAACAAAAAATAAACACCAAAACCAACCAAATAAATAACAACAACAATGAAACTCCTCCCCCTCCAGTCTGGCAGTTGCTTAGAGCTCAGAGTGGAGGGAGGGATTATGTCCTAAGAGTCTGTCTGTCTCACAGGAGTCTGTCCCATCAGTGCTATGAAGTAAGAGGAGCCAAGCCTTTCTGACAGCACACTGGGACTAGTGACCTCAGAGACATAAGGTAATTAAACTGAAGATCTGGTTAGCTGAACTCTGAATAACCAGTGCACATTTCTAAAGCTCTGTGTCTGGGCTTCATAAGAGTCTTAGTGGGGCAACAGAAGGGACTTCAAAGATTCTTTAGGGGCTGGTGGTGAGGGGTTTGGAGCAGTGACTGGGTTTTGTGGTAAAGTTGCATCCACAGAGGGCTTCCTAAGATGGAGAGAACCTCAGTTTCCCATATTGAAGAAAGCTAGTAGAGGAAGTGGGGTAATGATTTAGGCTGCATGGTAGTAGTATAGCTAGCTGCCCTGTTATTTTGAATTAACTCTTGTTGAGTCTGGGTCTCATGTAGCTGAGGTTAGCCTTATGTAGCTGAGGCTGACCTCATGTAGCCAAGGCTAGCCTCAAACCCAGATCCTCTTGCTTCCACCTCCCAAGAGCTGGAACTGTAGACATGGATCAGCACACTTGTGAGGGATCTCTTGACATCCTGATCAGAGATGGGCAAGTCTTATCTGTTTGCAGAGAGAACTTTGGCCACTACAAGCTTTGTCAGAAGAAGAACCCTACCTCAGAGTTCTGTCTTTGCTGTTCTTTATACCTCCCTGTCATTATTCAGCCTTCAAAATCTGCATCATAATCTGGTCATTCTCTTTAGATGGGGACAATTGATAGACAAGGCATGACCTCGACTCAGTTTCTGTAGTCACCCTCAGTTACCTTGCAGACACACAATGACCTTCAAAATCCTTCCTTTCCGCCAGCTTGTAATCTATATTCATACCAAGAGGGTTTGTTCTTGCCTGAGGCACTTCTAGCTGTAAAACTCTTATCAGGCTGGGCCTTTTCATTTATAGTTGAGGAAAATGATTCTTGGGGAGTTGAAGAAACTTTCCCTCTGAAAACATAGAGGGAAGGCAATCTTTGGTTAGCCTTTGATATGCACAGCATGAAATGCACATGGCTGCTTTCTCTGCTAACAAGGAATTTGGTAAGATGTGGTATGGTGGATGTGTGTTTGTCTGTCCCTCTCCCTTTCCTTGTAGAATGGTGCCAAAGGAAACCTCTTTTCTCCAATGTGAGCTGGGTCTCCTTAAAGCTGTTACTCAAAATGTCCCTCCCTGTTCTGGTCAAGGGGTGGGCACTGATGTGATTAGGTTGGTCAGTCAGATGTTGAGTTTTGATGGGAAAATATGGGATTTCTGTTTGTCCCAACAGTGGGACACTAATGAGCTGTCAATCACTCCTAACTCCCTAGGCACCCACTGAGGGTCTGGCATCAATCTTTCTCAGTGTGACAGCTCAGCTGTACATCCCGTCCTCCAAACCATTCTGTATATTTCCAAAAGCTTTCTCATTCTGCTTATTTAAGATAGGTCTGCTTGCTCGTGCTACACATCCTAAGTGATAGATATGCTTGTTTTCCTAAGTGACAGACTTTTGAAATGACACCATTGTCCTTGGGTAGGGCTTCATCATGGTGTTCAGAGACTAAACGGCCCAGTGTACAGCAACCCAGTTCCTGAGATGTGTCAGGCACTCACACACACAAGGTGGTCTTGAGTTCTGTCAGCATTCAGTGGCTCTAAAGACAGTGGCCATCCAGCAATCTAATCCTCTTTTAGCTAACATGGAGTACCTGATGCATGAAAAATGCTTAAGCTAATTTTCCTAACGCCTGCCTTCAGCCTTCTCAGATGGATAGACTGTTCTCTGCTACACACTTCCTTTTTGCTGAGTTCGAAATTTTGGTTGTTGTTTGCGCTCTTCCAACCTTTTCTGGTCAGTTTGGTTAGGTAACTCAATCATTCATGGCTGGAAGCCTTCATTTGCTTGTTCAGAAGGCTTGGAATGAGGAGGGGGGAAAAACGAGCTCAGGAATAGTTTGTGACACATATTAGATCTTGGGGCAGAATGATTCTGACATTGTTTCCAAAAATACAAATGTGGCTGAGTGGTCCAGAGGCAGCAGAATCGAACCTGACCTGTGGGAGCAAGTATGAATAACTCAGAATATAGTCTGTGTCTAGTGGCATAAGGAAAAGCATATTTGCCTATGGGATGGATTTGTCACTTACCTGTCCCTGTCAATGGTCCTAAAGTCATCAGGATAATGTACACAGGAACATTTGCTCAGAATAACTATGGATTCAAGTTGACTGCCCTGTCATCTTGGCCGAATATGTGAGGGATGGACTGGAGTTAGGACTTGCTTCTGTCTCTGAGTTCTAGACGGCAGGATGCCCTGATTGTCCTGGGGGTGCTGTATCAGAGGGATAAGATGTGAGTGTGAGTGCGGCAGCTGGGGAGATGGTGTCCTTGGTAAAGTGCCTGAGGAGCAAGCAGGACCTGAGTTCAGATCTCCAGTACCAACAGAAAATCTGGGAGAATGCACTTCTGTCACCCCAGTGACAAGGGGGTGGGGTGAGAGACAATGGGATCCATGGAGCTCATTGGCCAGACAGCCTTGTTAAATCAGTGAGTTCCAGGTTTATTGAGTTCATCGAGAAATTCTGTCTTAAAAAAATGAGATGGAGTTTGTGGTTGCTTGAATGAACATGCCACTCCCACCCAATAGTCTCACAGAGAGTGACACTATTAGGTGTGGCCTCATTGGAGTAGATATGGCCTTGCTGGAGTAGGTGTGGCCTCATTAGAGGAAGTACATCTCTAGGGGGTGGGCTTTGAGGTTTCAGAAGCTCACACCAAACCCAGTGGCTTTCATTCTCTTCCTGCTGCCTGAAGCTCCTGATATAAAACTCTCAGCTACTTCTCTAGCACCATGTCTGCCTTTTGTGCCACTACACTGGCTGCTATGATGACAATGGACTAAACCTCCGAACTGTAAGCCAGCCCCAATTAAATGTTTTATTTATAAGAATTGCTGTGGTCAGGTGTCTCATCATACACTAGAAACCCTATCTAAGACAGAGGGTTACTGACGAAGACATGTAATGCCAACTTCTGGCCTCCACATGTATAAACACACACACACAAGGTGAGTGCCAAGATGAATGGTCAGGAATCTGTGTGGGCAGGCATTTGGGCATTTGTACAATGCAGGCCTACCAATGATGGTGGGGAAATTATTCCAGACAGAGGGATACAGGGGTCATCCTGTGGAATTTTCTCTATCTTCCACAAGGTTATTATAATTTTGGAATCAGGCATCGTAGAGTTATCATTGTACATCTTCTTGCACAGTTGTAGACATGTAGAATATACTAAAGACATATATTGTCTAGTTGGGTTATACTCACTCTGTGAGGTGTCCTTTCTTCAGCTGACCTTAACTTCCACCAGACTGCAGCCAGGAACATTGACGACTGATTGCTTTTCACTCCAGCAACTGCCGCAGGACCAGGGGCATCTATCATGGACCAGTGGAGACTCCCGTTTCCATTCTTCCTCAGCCACCGAGCAGCTGTCAGGCACCACTGACTCCAAGTCCACTGCTGGGCCTCAGGTTTCCTGGGTGAGTCATTGGCAGCTTCTGAGCGATTTGCAGGGAGGCAGCCACAAGGAATAAGATCTTAGAATTAGCAGTTCACATAATACTCGGAAGGAACATGGCTGTCATGGCTGAGGAGGCAGAGAGGAGAAAGGCTGTAGATGGGTTAAGGGTAGGGAGATAAGAACTGGAAATGTTTCCAGCTAGATGGAAGAGCAGAGCATGGCACATTAATAGTCACTTTGATGGTCACCTAAGATCCTGCTGTAAATGGAGCTCCCTGATTCATGGGAGGGGCTAGTAGACTCTCAACTTACAAAAAAAAAAAAAACCAACTTGAATGTATCATCATCATCGTTATCACGAGTGAGTGACTGTGTTTGGAACAGGACAGAGACAAGTAAACAGCTCAAGGATGGGTGTTCAGAGTAAAACCTCCTGGACCCGTTGCTAATCTGGATAGAGGACAGAGAGGGAGTAGTGGAAGATAATTCCCATGGGTTACCTCATGGGCTCAGGGATGTGGGGAGGACCAGGCTGGGAGATTGGTGGTGGAGGCGGTGGGATCAGTGAGTTTAGGGGTAGAGGACATGACAAACACTCTTGTCATATGCTGATCTGAGAGGCCTTTGCAGCAGTCCAGCCCAGGGGCTGAGTGCAGGGATGCTCTGGACTGGGTCTCCCAGGCGAGTTCCGGGCTGGGAGGGGAGACTGGGCATGTGCCAGTTACTTGTCTCCTCGCTGTGACAAAAGATCTGACACAGAAGCTGAAGGGAGCAAGGCCTTATTTTGGCTCACAGCTCAGAGGGCATCCAGGGATGGCCTAGAGATGGGGCCAGCTTATCCCTGGCACTGGGGGTGTGCAGCTGCACAGTCACATCTCAGTGGAGCAGGAAACCCTCAGGGCCCCAACCTCCACCCACATTTCTTCTAGGTAGTCCCACACCCCAAAGCTTCTACAGCCTCATGCAAAATAGTGCTTCCAGCGGGGACCAAGCACATGAGCCCAGGGAGACAGTTTGCATCTAAACCACACAAGCATCGTCATGATGAGGGCGGACATGTGGTGGTTGAGTCTACTGAGGTGTGTGGTGTATGTGTGTGTGTAGGGCGTGTGTGTGTATGTGTGTGTGGTGTGTATGTGTGTGGGTATGTATGTGTGTGGTGTGTATGTGTGTATGTGTGTGTGGTGTGTATGTGTGTGGGTATGTGGTATGTATGTGTGTGGGTATGTATGTGTGTGGTGTGTATGTGTGTGGGTATGTATGTGTGTGGGTATGTATGTGTGTGGTGTGTATGTATGTGTGTGGTGTGTATGTGTGTGGTGTTTATGTGTGTGTATGTGTATATGCGTGTGTGGTGTGTATGTGGTATGTACGTGTGTGGTGTGTATGTGTATATGTGTGTGTGGTGTGTGTTTCGGGAGATTCTCTTTGTCCCACTGGTCCCACAGCTGCCTTGCCCCAAATAAGCACACAAAGACTTATATTATTTAACTGTTGTCCGATGACTAGGGCTTCTTACTGGCTAGCTCTGTCTTAATTATTAACCCATTTCTATTAATCTAAGAATTTCCATGTGGTCTTACCTTACCGGAGAAGGTTCCGGATCTCCAGCTCCTTCGGTGGCTACATGTCGTCTCTTTCCGGCCTTCCTCTGCCTTTCCCAGAATTCTCCTTGTCTCCTTATCCCTCCCTTTTCCTGCTTCATTGGCCAGGCTGTGTTTTTTTTTTCTCAATATATGTTTTTATTGAAATTAGAAATGTTTATGTTTCACATGTCAGTCCCAGCTCCCTCTCCCACCCCTCCTCCCTTGTCCCTCCACCAGCCCCCCACCCAATCCCCACATCATTCCCCAGGGAGGGTGAGACCCTCCTTGGGGGAGATCTCTAAAGTCTGTCATTTCATCAGGGTCAGGACCTAGGCCCTTCCCCATGTGTCCAGGCTGAGAGAGCATCCCTGTATTTGGAATGGGCTCCCAAAGATCATTCATAAACCATGATAAACACTGATCTACTACCCAAGGCCCCAGTGATTTCTGTGGCTTCCTCTCTGGCACTACATTCATGAAGTCTGGATCAGTCTCCTGTTGGTCTCTCAGCCATCAGTCTGGGATTCAAGAGCTCCCCCTTGTCCAGTCAGCTGTCTTTGTGGGTTTCATCATCATGGTCTTGACCCCTTTGCTCATCACTCCTCCATCTCTGTCACTAGGTTCCAGGAATTCAGTTCATTGTTTAGCTGTGGGTATCTGTCTCTGCTTCCATCAATCCCTGGATGAAGGTTCTAGGATGGCATATAAGGTAGTCATCAACCCTATCATCAAGGAGGGGCTATTAATGTAGTCTCTCCACTATTGTTTAGTTTGTCACTTGGTGTTATCCTTGTAGATCTCTGGAGATCTCACTAGTGTCAGCTCTCTCCTCAAGCCTATAATGACTCGATCTATTATGGTATCTCTCATCCTGCTCTCCTCTATTCTTACCTCGACTCAACCTTCCTGCTCCCCCATGCCTTCTTCTCCCCTCCTCTTATCCCCCTCTCTTTTTCTTGGCTCCGTCTCCCCTCCCCCGATGTTCCCAATTTGCTCAGGAGATCTTGCCTCATTCCACTTCTCTGGGGTATCATCCATCTCTCTTGGGAACCTCCTTGTTTCCCAGACTCACTGGCACTGGGATTGTAGGCTGACACTCCCTGATCCATGTCTAAAATCCATATATGAGTGAGTACATACCATGTTTGTCTTTTTGTGTCTGGGTTACCTCACTCAGGATGGTTTCCTCTAGTGCCATCCATTTGGGCCAGGCAGTCTTTCATTCATCAACCAATTAGAGAAACATATATACAGAAGGACATCCCCCATCAGGTGTGTATGTATGTGTGGTGTGTATGTATGTGTGCATGTGGTGTGTGTGTGTGTTTACTCAGGCTTGGCAGTAAGTGCTTTTACCCACAGACCCATCTTGCTACTTCCTTTTGTGTGTGTGTGTGTGTGTGTGTGTGTTTGAGACAGGGCTTTTCTGTGTAGCTCTGGCTGTCCTAGAACTCACTCTGTAGACCAGGCTGTCTTCGACCTCATGGAGATCTGCCTGGCTCTGCCTCCCAAGCACTGGAATTAAAGGTGTACATAACCCCACCTGGCCCCATTTGTGTTTTCAGAGAGGGTCTTACTCTGTCTCCAGCTGTTCTGGGACTTTGTACATGGCAGTGGTCTTCCTGCCATGACACATCATGCCCAGCGTTCATATATACTTAAAGCATTACCAGTATATAGTTAATTACATATAATAGTGAGTTTCATTGTGAAATTTTCATACATGTGTAATGTATTTTCATCACGATCACCCCATTATTCCTATCTCCTTCCACTTGCACTGATCTCTTTCTTCTTCCTACCTAGTCTCTTATTTATTTATTTATTTATTGAGACAGGGTTTCTCTGTGTAAAAGCTCTGGCTATCCTGGAACTTGCTGTGTAGATCAGGCTGGCCTCAAACTCACAGAGATCCACCTGCCTCTGCCTCCAGAGTGCTGGGATTAAAGATGTGTACCATCAATATCTGGCTCCCAAGCTTGTTTTTGGGACCCACTGAGTTTAATTAGGCTTTCTTACATAAACATGGGTGAGAGGTTAGACATGGGAGCTTGTTAGATACATTTCAGTGGTTCCACCACTGAAGAAAACGTTTCCCCGCCCCTCAAACTATTAACTACCAATAGCTAGCTACTCAGGGAGGAGTGGGGTCACCTGGACTCCTCCCCAATCCATTAAATGTACTTTTAAATTTAATTAACTTATTTTTATTGATAATTTTTAAAATTTAAATTAGTCAATCCCAGCTCCCTCTCCCTCCTCTTCTTCCCTGCCTACCAGGCTCCCAAATTCCCCACCCAATCCCCATTCCATTCCCCAGGGAGGTTGAGACCCTCCATGGGGGATATCCAGAGTGGGTCATTTCGTTCAGGGCAGGGCCTAGGCCCTTTCCCAAGAGTCCAGGCTGAGGGAGCATCCCTCATTGTGGGATGGGCACCCAGAGTCCATTTGTGTGCCAGGGATAAATACTGATCTACTACCCAAGGCCCCATAAATTGCCGAGACCTCCTCACTGACACCCACATTCAGGGGGTCTGGGTCAGTCCCATGCTTTCCACACAGCCATCAATCTGGGGTCCAAGAGCTCCCCTTTGTTCAGGTCAACTGTTTTTGTGGGTTAAACCAGCCCAGTCTTAACTCCTTTGCCCATCAGTTCTCTCTTTCTGACACTGGATTCCAGGAGTTCAGTTCAGTGTTTGTCTGTGGGTATCTGCCTCTACTTTCATCAGTCACTGGATGAAGGTTCTATTTCCCAGACTGTCTGGCTTTGTGGATTGTAGGCTAGTACTCCTCTGATCCATGTCTAAAATACATATATGAGTGAGTACATACTATGTATGTCTTTTTGTGACTGGGTTACCTCACTCAGGATGGTTTCTTCTAGTGCCATCCATTTGCCTGCAAACTTCAAGATTCCATTGCTTTTTTCCCACTGAATAGTACTCCATTGTGTATATGTACCACATTTTCTCTATCCACTCTTCAGTTGAGGGGCATCTAGGTTGCTTCTAGGTTCTGGCTTTTACAAATAATGCTGCTATGAATATAGTGGAACAGACATCCTTGTTGTATGAATGTGCATCTTTTGGGTATATGCCTAGGAGTGGAATTGCTGGGTCTTGTGGTAGACTGATTCCCAATGTTCTGAGGAATCTCCATACTGATTTCCAAAGTGGCTGAACAAGTTGTCACTCCCACCAGCAGTGAAGGAGTGTTCCCCTTTCACCACATCCTCTCCAGCATAAATTGTCATTGGTGTTTTTGATTTTAGTCATTCTGACAGGAGTAAGATGATATCTCAGAGTTGTTTTGATTTGCATTTCCCTGATGGCTGGGGATGTTGAGTTGCTGATGGAGAATGGACGGATTGGTGGCTCAGTGCTCCACAAGGCTGCTGCAGCAGGAAAGGAGATTAATCAACTTATTATTTTTTTTTTGGTTTTTACGAGACAGGGTTTCTCTGTATTGTTTCGGAGGCTATCGGTCCAGCCCAGCCTCGAACTCACAGAGATCCACCTGCCTCTGCCTCCCGAGTGCTGGGATTAAAGGCGTGCGCCACCACCGCCCGGCTAATCAACTTATTTTTTGAGACAAGGGTCTTACTATGTTGGGAGGCCGGTCTTACATCACAGATCCTTCTGCCTCAGCTTCCCAAATGCTGGGAATATACGTATAGATTCATTTTAATAGTTCATATACACACCCTTATTCCAG